GGTCCCCGTCGCTGAAGCCATCGACAACCTTGTCCGCCTGAAAAGGAATGCACATGCTGATGCCAGGGGAAGAGTCGTGAGCCATTATGGTAAAGATGTTGTGGATGAACGGTATGGAGGCCAGAAGTAGCAGAATCACAGCATTGATGATGAGCAGAGGAAAGAATCGTGGAGCCAGCACTACCACGGCTAGCAAGTCAGCTACACAAATGACGTCCCAGTTGCAGGACCTTGCCCTATCCCACGGCCCCAAAATCAGCCCTCATGAGTCTGCAGTGGTTCCCTTGTCTGATATACGCTCCCCTCGGAACCCCCTCAAAAAAACAAAAGGTGCCTCAACAACACCCGGAAATAGTGGCAATTTTCATGAGAAACTCCTCTGCCAACCGAAAATTGAATCCTACTCCCTGAAAACTACGCTCTCCCTTCATGGTCAGGGAGCTGTCGAATCAGAAACGTCTAACCCCCAACCAATTTATTTCTTGCGTCCTAGAATCCCTGAACCCTACACCCTTACGATCGTCTGTTTAGTGAAATCCATTCTGTGTTTCCCTTCCTTCATGCCCTACTAGCCACCATTAAACCAACAGGTGTCGACCTCTTCTTCGGCTTTGGCAATTCCTGCAAACTGACCAATGGGTTTAGGGTGTAGGGATCGCCCTTTTGGGACCTCCTTGAACTTCAGAAAGTTTTCAGTACAATCAGGATTCGGTTTCAGACGATTCTCTGAGGGGGATCTGCAAAATGTGCGCTACATCATCCTACGGGTGTATAGGCGGATCCTGATCTTCAGACATTATCACTTTCCAGGCTTCAAAAAATAAGGCTGCAAGCTTCTGGCTTCCAGATTTTCAGGCAAAGCTTGAGGGTCTAGGATCATAAACCGAATCCGTCAGTAGTTAACTGGTAATGATGGAGAAGAACCTTCATATGCTAGATGCTGAAGAATAATATCCAAAAGCTGTAGGCCCCCGAGCAACTCTGGATATGCAGTGGTCGATGATGGTCTCCTTCTGTTTGTTCTCCGTGGGGGGGCTCCGGTCATACCTTCAGGAGGCAAGACTTTCTTCTTGCGTCGCGGAACCCTCCCCAGAGGCAAGGGTCGGCATTGAATAGTGCTAACATCCAAACCCCCTAAATCCTAAATCCTGATCCTGAACCACACAACCCCCAAAGACCCTGGATCCTAAGCCGTGAAAACCCCAAAATCCCAAACCATTGTTGGCTCCTATGCTCAAGGCGACCACGGCCAAACGCCACAGGAACCGCATGGCGTTGCGACCTCAGCGCTTCAGAAGCCTTCACTTCTTCAGGTTTGAGGGTTTAGGGGTTTAAGAATTAATCAAAATGAGGCCCATGTCGGTTGGGTCAAGGGGTAGATGTGTTGCCTGCAGTCGGGTGGATTTGTTGTGCTTATGTGGCTTTGGGCTGCATGCTCAGGTCTTATTTAGAAAGTGGACTCATGGCCTTTGGGGAAAGCGTACGCTGAAGCCTTGCTTTGGGAATTCGACCTACCTTTGAAATCATTACTATCATACTCGTATACTCTTATACTATTATACTTTTATGCGATTATACGATTATACGATAGTATTATAATAGCATACTATTCTACGATTATACGAGTATACTATTATACAATTATACTATTATACTATTACACTATTATACTTACTATTGCACTATTGTACGATTCTGCTTACTATTGTGCTATTATACATCTATACTATGACACTATGATGTTATCCACAGCCCTGCACTGGCCTTCGGGCTCGCTGCAGGCCCTTCCAGAATCCCAATCAAAGAGCATCTCAGAACATGAAAGCTGAATCAAGAATATAACGATATAATACGTAATAGAACAATACAATAGGATCACAGAAAACGATAACCCAAAGGTCCAGGGTGCCGTCTCTAAAAATGCCACGCCCTACATCCTAAATCCAGCTTTCTGAGGTCGTACACCCGTCCACGCACCCGCACCCACCATTCTGAACCCCGGGCGCGACAAGATGGAAATGTACAAGTGATAGTTTCCCAAAATTGGTGGATGGATACCTTTTTGGGGGTCCCAATAAAAAGTTTTGCAGTATTTTGGGGTCTACATTAGGGCCCTCCTATGTAGGGAAACTACCAAATACTGTGATCATCATCCTTCTTGCAGGGGCTCCTTTGTGCCTTGCCTACCTGGTCACAAGCTCCCCGCCTGCAATTCATGCGCACCGATTTAGGCATGTCTTCGCATGTTCTGCGCCCCTGGCACTTTGTCATTTCATTTCTGGCACCTGTATATTCTTGTTCCTAGCGGATCCTCACTTCCAATCTTGAAGCTGAAGCTGAGCAAAACTCTGAGCTCCCCGCAAAAACGAGATCCAGCGCAGGGGCGTGGCTGGGCAGCACAAAATCTCAGGGCCGAAAACCACAGAGTCAAGCATTTCTAGTTTCACATGTTGTTCAAGATTTTTCAAGGCTCTTGAAAGCTGGGTCAATTCATCGGGGTGCGGGCCTGCTCTATAGGTGGGGAATAAGAACTCCGGAGGGGAAAATGTCTTCCAGCCGGCAACTCTCCTGCACTACGGACAATGAATCACGCCCTTCTCTCCCATACCCGGTCTCCGGGGTAGCTTTGTGATAGCAATCTTGTGATGGTGCTACTTCCAAAGAAGGTTGTCGATAAGGGCTCAAGGCTGGCTACGCTTCTGCATGTTTGACGGCTACATGGTAGAGCTGCAAAGGGGTCATATTTGTAGAGAATCAGATGGAAAAGACCGATAGAAAATTACATGGAAGTTACTATTTACGGGTCTAGGCTCTAGGGTTTGATGTGTAGGCATTACACTATCGTTTAGGCTTTGGTTACTAAATTACTACGACTTGTAAGCCCTGATGATGCAGATTCGGGATTCCGTCTGATTTCCTGCCTGCAAATAGAGATCGCATCGTTAGCGCAAAAGGAATGTTCATGTTTGAGTGGCGCCCAAATCCGGACCCATCTTATTGAAAGCAAGTCAGTACTGTAACCTGTTACATCTCATAACGATTCGAGCCCTTGCAATCCATTTTCCACACGGCCATCACATCTCTTCTCGGACCGCATCAGGCCGCTTCGGCACAATCTCCCCGGAGGGAAAGGCCTTCCTTGGATCGAATCAGCCGGATTTGGGTTCAGGGGTCCAGGGTTTAGGGGTTAGGATTTGAGTTTGGGCCTTTGAGCTTTTGAGTTGAAGTCTTTCGGGTTGGTTGGGAGGTTCCAGGTGCATATCCAGCAGCAGCCGACGCTTACAAAAAGGATCCTGTGCACTTCCTTGGAGGGTTTGCTCTGCTTGTTATGAGAGACCCTGTTACAGTAGAAGGCACGATGCCTTCACATCTCGGATAGCACGTCGCGAGCTCATTTTGTCGCGTGGCCAAATTAGTATCCGTAAAGTCGCTGGCTTGCAAGCCATGACTCCAGCCTGGTAAAGCGCTAAAATCCTGGCTGTAAGGCTATGCGGATTAGGCTCAGCACCACAGACTTGATCCCGAGACGAGGTTTATGAGCCTAGAGAAATGAGCCCGCAACCTCTGAAATGAATACTTTACTAATACTATGACTTTCATACTGTTATACCCTTATACTCTCATACTCTTGTACTATGATATATATTACTATACGAGTACACTATTATACTATAGAACTATAATACAATCATGCTCTTATACTCGTATACAAACATATTATTGCTACTACTATTACTATTACTCTTGCTATTACTAGTACTAGTAGTAGTACTTTTACCATTACGATTCCTATTAGGATTGATATTATATTCCTACTACGATTCTTGCTGCTACTATAACTACTATTATTTATGTCGCCCAGGTGCACTTCCCCGCTGTCTAGCTGGAGCAGAATGAGACCATCGTCCTTTCAACAGGGATTTCTTGGACTCATAGCCGCCAGGACTTTTTTTAGAGCTTCCAGCTGAAGAGTAAATCATGTACAACACTAACTTGATCCTGCCAGTCGGGATGGCAAAGACTTATTGCAGCTCGCCAATGCATCATAGTAAAGATTTGATTTAAAAACACCGAAGAGCAGCAAGTAGTTGACTTCTTCCTGCACGAATTTGCTGCACCTAAAATTTGGAGCTGAGGATTCTGTCTGCAAGCCTGGGCGTCTTGCATCGCAATGGAAATGTAGCACGAACACCTCGAGACTGAGACCCTACCCCCTCGACCGCGAATCAACTTCAAAAACAAACAAACATGAATTCTTTGCCATTAGGGACGGGTATGTGCCCGAATTAAAAACTCCTGTCCAGGATAAATTCAAAGCCGTGCTCATCCTAAAAACAGTACCTGAACCCTTAAACACAAGCCCCCAAGCACCCCAGTCCTAACCCTATACTATAGTAATCTAGAGAAGTTTCCATTTCATTTTCCCTTCTCCCAATATAACCCCAATATATCCCCTATAGAACCCCTGTAAACCCTAAATCTCGGGACTCGGGGCTTTGGAGCTGCCACCTTGGGGGTCACAAACGTAATGACAACAGCAAATGTTTGCCAAAACTCTCTTGGCTTTGGGTATATTATACTAAAAAGGTCCCGATATACCCCATATTCTATCTACTTATTGGGGACTATACCTACACCACATCACTAAAGGGTCAACGAATGGTCGCCACGAAGTGGTCTAGGGACCGTCAAAACATGTCACGAAGGCATGAATCTGTCATGATCCATTAGGGTGATATGCATATAGTAGCTTCCATGTCATTTTCCATCTAATTCTCCATTAATCTGTCACGATCCATTTACCCTTAACCCCAAACCCTAGATCCGTTTTAGGCCAACATTTGCATCATTGGTGCTGTGAGTCCTGGATGCCTTCGAACACACCTTGACAGGCCATGGTCTTTAGGGAGTTTAGGGTTTACAGTTTGACATTTCCAACTCAGGGAAACACCAAGTGGGCTGTGTCATGCGAGCCGAAGGATCTTCCCAAAATTTGTGTTTGACGGTTCAGGGTTTCGAGGCCTGGCCTATCTATCCCAAATCTGGAGACAGTATTACAGAGAGTCGCAAGGACGTCTGCAGGCTGCAACTTTCTGAGGAGGCCGAAGGTACAAGGCCAAATATGGGCAACCAAGCACAACTGCCACAACGCTCGTGACATGAATCCAGAGAGCCCAATACCCCTTCATCATGGAATAGCAGTAAATGTTCAACCCATGTCATCATGACTCTTGCCACGCAAGGCATTTGTATTTCTGGGCACCGAAGAATTTCCTGTGTTTTTGTTTCTGGGGTTCCCGGGGAGCTCAATACTCCTTAATCGAGGTATATACCTGCATGATATTAGGATCCCTGCTATGATATACGCCATATTCCCAAATTAAGGGGCATTGGGCTCCCAAGGAACCTGGAAAACATGACCTCGTCTTCTGGCTGGGATGTCCAAAGTCATGCGCCACGCTGGGTTGACGGTGTAGGAATGAGACAAGTCCTGTGAGAGCCCCAAGAGGATCAAGAGTCTTCCCACAGCCATCAACGACTGTCGATGTGGTAAGTACTGGACCTGAAGTTCGAGGAAACCCCTATATGCTAGCAGCATGGGATAGAGGTCATGATGTAACTGGAAATATCCGCATGGCACAGGGCGATGTGCCAAATCTTAGGACAGCAGTAGCCAGCAGAATATGGACTTCACAGCGCAACGCATTCACACAATGCAGAGAAAACGGCAGACACTTTGAGAGCTTTTCCTCGCTGCGAAGTCCGTGTGAGACTGCGCTAATCGGTTAGTCTACCGGCATACCTTTCACGGGGTCCCAGCCAGGGCAATCTTGATAGGTGCCAATGCTGCCATCTTCCAGCACGCAGTAGCTGTAGGCACAGTAGGCCATGTCGCAGGCTGAGCTGCCCATGGCACAAGTCCATGCAGCCACATGATGCGCATGGTCGGGGGTCGGGCGGGCTAGAGGCAAGACGGGCAGGTCAATCAGGTAGTTCTCCATCATGTCAATCAGGGTCATGTTGCCCTTCGAGCCCATTCTGACGAGGTGATCAGAGTTGCAGATCTCCTTGGGCTTAGGGTTCAGGGTTCGATGTTTAAGGCTCAGGGTTCAGGGTTTAGTGTTTAGGATTTAGGTATGAGACTTGCAGATCTCCTTGGCTTTTGCAGTCATGCCCTTGAAGTCGTTCTGCAAAGCCTTGATCTCCTTGGACAGCCAACCGTTGTGGTAGCAGTAGTACGCGTCATATGTGAAGGTTTTGTAGCCGACAATTGGTAGATTCGGTAGCCTCACGCTTTTGGCGAACATCATGTAGTCCTGGTTGTAGATCGCATCAGCACAACCCTTTTCCGTGTTCAACTCGCACCAGCCAAAGGTTTCGTTGTGCTCTTCCGTGGCTTCTTTCATGAAAGTACTTAAAGGCAGAAACACGTTTTCCGGGTGCTCGAAGAGGCTGTGGTTGCCGCAGTCACTACGCTGCACATAGGTGTTGTTGGGCGCACGATCTTCAGTTGGCATACCGCAAAGAGCACACGTGCGCCCATTCATATCAATGTTCTGGATCCAGTCCAGAAACTTCGTGGGGTCGGCTCTTGACCGGTTGACCTTGCCCACGTTAAGGGATGATGCAACTTTGCGAGAACCATGCTGCAACAGCGATGTTCCTTGCTGGCAGCTGGCCGAATCCTGACAGCCGAAGGCATCGGCGTCAAGCGCGAGGGCCGGAGTCAAAGCCAACGCAGTAAGCGCAAGGCGAAAGCACGTCATGAAGGCGGAGGGTCTGGGCAAGGGGTTTCGCCACCGATCCTTCTACAAGGCTATGTCCTGAGCCGTTGATTGACAGAAAATGCGTTCCGCACAGGAGCACCTTCCTGCGGCCCGCACAAGTATAAAGTGTAGCAGCGTAGCGTTGCATAGGCCGCGCAAGGCCACATTGCTGACAACCATCCAAATCCCAAGCCGTGACGAGGCGCATCGAAACGGCTCCTCAGACTCGTGCACCCGGAACCAAACCTGCCAGCAGACTCATTTCAGAATGTTGTGTTTTCCTATTCCCTGCTCGCATCTTACAGAGGCACAGCAAGCGAAGCTCAACAATTATCACAGGGACCCCTAAGGGCTAACCCTGATCCCCAATCCCGACCCCAAAACACTTCAATCCTCACTATGGGGACCCCCCCCACCAAAAAGGCACCCCTAATTTTGGCAAAGCCTCATTTGGCGTGGACTGCTTTTGGGAGCTGCAGCTATTCTACAGGGTCACTGCCTCCTGCTTTAGCATATAGTCCGCCCTTAACTAGCTACACTATGGACTTCCCCAATGTCAGAATAAGATCCCCATATATACCCACATTCGATCTACTGCAGACGGACTATGCCCTAAACCCTAAGCTCTATTCCATCCAAAGGCGACTCAAATTGGTTTGCAACCATTGGAATGCCCCCCTCAGCCCTTCCATTCTTTGCGACGAGAAATCAGGATTTCTGCTGTAAACAAGGTCGCGGTTCAGAGTTTGGGGTTGAGGGTTTAGGGTACACTCCCAACACTCTTGGAAACTTGATCCTAAGAACTCCAGGAAGAAAGCTTCGGTGTGGGCAACGCTGCATGTTAGGGCTTCCAAGCTGTAGCACATTGAAACCTGATCTAGAACAACTTGGACATATCATGGCTCTCAGGTAACTTTGCAAACTATTCACCAGGCTTCTGACGTGGAAAGTGAGCGAACGTCGAGCAGAACTCCTGAAATATTTGCCACTGGTTCGCTCCTTCGCACGAGCTGTTTTTGTCTTGTTGAGACTAACTATCCCCACAGACCCTAAGTCACTACGCCTGAGACCCTATAAATAACAAAACGAAAAACCTAGAACCCCAATTTGCGTGATTCCACAAAGCCTCGCTGCCAAGAAGGACATCAAGGCGGTTCACCCGGTCGCGCAGACCCGCAAACCCGTCGATGAAGAATCTGCGGGACGAGGGTTTAGGGTGTGAGGACTAAAGGTTCACGTTTTTGCATGTAGGGCTTCAGAAGACATAGGATCAGAGCCTCGTGTTAAGATTTAGGGCTCATGTTAGATTTTTAACGTCACGCTTCTGATTTCAGCATGAGAAAGACGCCGCACTGCTCCACGTGAAAGTCTCATGGTGAACTATCTCTGTGATGGCTGCTTTTAAACCCTCGCTTTTAAAACCCTCGCGGTTTAGGGTTCAAGGTTTAGGGTATGGGTTCGGAGTTCAGCTTCGGGATTTAGAGAATACCCTGTCACAGCCAGTACTTGCAGTGTGCAAATACGTGAGACAGAGGTCGGGAACTAAATCTGACCAAAATCTAGCTAAGGGTCACGTGCTCTTCCAGAAGCATCTGGGAACTGCAGCTATGCCCATCAAGGGAGGGACTCAGGAAGCAAAGTGCCAGCGTCTCCTTTCCTTGGAACTGCACGCTACTCAGAAAAGGCTGGAAAGGCCCGAAAGGGAAGAAGGCCGGAGGAACTGGCACAGGGCATGCCGGAAGACGAGGTGTGAACGCAAGAGGCGAGGAACGTTTTTCACTCACGGAGAATACCCTGCTTCGATTAGTGGCCGATCAGCATAGCTTCATTGGCAGGCCGAGGTCAAGCAACCCCATCTCACATATCATGGGGTTTCCCAAAATTGGGGTACCTTTCTTGGAGGTCCCCATAGTTAGGATTCGAGTATTCCGGGATCTATATTGGGGTCCCACTATTTAGGGAACCTACCATGTGTCTTCAGGGAGTTCGTCAATCGTGATGCCGAATTATGCTTCCTCCACGGTGTTGGGGGCATCCTAGTATGGGACGCACCGCCCCTCAACTGACAAAAGCTTAGGCACTTAACTTGAGGGTGCAGATTTCAAACATACATGCCCTTCCAGCAAAATTCATGCCTCTCCTACATGGAGCCTGTATTCCTGCCGCTTCATTACTCACTCTTGGCATGGCAGACGCTGGAGGTTCTGACCACGAGGGCCATAAAAGATTGCGCAATACGTCCTTGGAACCTCAAAATGCCTGCTGGGCTATAACATCCCTACAGGCCGAAAAGAGCCCTAACCTATACGCATGTCAAATCAGGCAAATAGGAAAACACACTGTATGGATCTCTCCTCAAGTTGATTCATGATGGTACCCAAAATGCACACTGTCATGAATGAAGTAATTAAGTCCAGTCCATCCTCAGACCGCCAACATCTGGAAGCCTAAGGCAAATAGTTTCTGAGCAGAATCACCCTTCCTGCTAAGCCCTGCAACTTCAACAGAATGACCGCTTTCGGGATCCTCGAAAACGGACCCCGAGAACCCAGCCATCACTTAGCCTCTTCAGCTCCAATGCGAACGCTCCCAATAGCCTCCTGCCAAGCCCGTCCAATCCTACTCAAATATAGAACTCATTGCAAAAGATTATGACGAGGATAATGGGGGGGCTGGAACCATCGCCCCACTCCCAACTAAGCATCAGTAGGTAAGCTCGCGCAGCTTCGGTCCCCAGGTACCCTGACTGCGGTCCCAAAGGCTCACTGGTAAGCATTAAGCCTGACTGTAGTTCGCGGGCTCTGGAAGGTTGAGTGGGTCGCATGGCCAAAGTTTTGGAAGCTTCAAATTTGGCTTCGGGATCCAAGTTTTGGGCAGGGAGGTCCACAACGGCTACTTCCTCATAACAACCTGCAGCAGTCATGCTTAGCTTACCTTCGGGCTCAGGCAAAGTGCGTCCAAGGCGGGCCAGATTCTGAGGTGATTTCCAGGGGTCTTGGTTTGCAATGCGGCGTGAACACATCGCTCGCCTGGTCTTCTGGCATGCATTTTCCTGCGTCTCATTCTGCCAACAACAAACTCTGAATCTCTCAATATCATCGTTTTCGAGTATGGAAGTCCGACTAACTATGGATCCTCTATGAAGGGCAACCCAACATTGAGACGCCTCATTGTATTTCACAGGATCATTCCATTCCCCTATGGATCCCTTTGCAGAAACCGAGTGTTCCATTTCATTTTCCATGGTCTTTTCAATTTGATTCTCCATGGTTACCCTAAGCCCCTTACATATCTTTGATCCTCTAAACCTTAAGCCCTAAATTCGGGGATCTTTGCATGCGGTCCTGTCCTGCGTATCGCCGCAACATCAAATTCGCGGCCCGAAAGTGCAAGAAGCGACGTTGCAGGCCACACGGGTCTCGCAATCCTGGATGGGGAAAATGTGGGTTCGAAGGAGTATATGAGGGGCATATAGGCATACATGGGATATATTATGGGTGTCCAGGGCTGTATCAGAATAACGAAAAAGAAAATGAAAGTTACTTGTTATAACAGGTTCCCTCTAGGGATTAGTCAGGGATCCAGGGCTCTTCTTGTTGATCCCTAGAAACCACTACATAACCCTGAGCTTCCATTTCATTTTCATCTTTCGGACAAAACCCCTAAATCCTATACAATCCTCGTATAACCGTATATTGGGGCTCCCCATACTTGAGCACACTTCATGAAGGCCACACGGAGCATGCGGTGGTTATCCATAAGGATGGCATAGCTAACACTTTCGTCATGGAAGAATTGATGCGAGCTTCCTCAGCAGAGCAAAAGTATAGTCCCCCTTAAGTAGATAGAATGTGGGGTATATGGGGGGGGGGTCTTATTAAGATATACCCAAAGCCATATTCTATCTACTTAAGGGGGGGTCCTCATCGCAGCAGTTCACTCTGCGTGTCACGAGGACCAGTGGCAGACGAACAAGGCTAGTGCTTTGGGGATCATGGAGTCTTACCAGGTCTATAGGACTCATAGTACTAAGTCAAATACAACCATCAACCATGTCTACAGCATGCATCAGCCCCTGCTACCTCGACCTTCTCCACACCCCAGCACTAAGGCCTTGCAAAGTGAAGCCCACAAGCCACTGTTCCTGGAACGTTGAACGTGAAACATGCCAGACATTGGCAACGTTTTAGTATTAACCCCAATATACTATGTAGTAGTTTCCATCTAAATTTCCAGTTCCCAATATACTATGTATGATCCCTGGTAAATCTCAGCCAGGAATCGCGTCCAGATCAGCTCGCGAGGTGTTGATCTGCAGCGTACGCGGCAGATGGGTAGCTAGGATGCTTAGTACCAAAACTAGATAGGGAAAAGAAAATTGAAGCTGCGATTAAGGGCTTAAGGTATGGGGTGTAGGGTTTAGGGTTTAGGGACCTTGAAGAATCGCATGTTTGACTGGGGAGTGCAGATTGCGTCTTTGGTGCCCATGGCCTCTGTGGAACAGTGCATTTAGAGAGTTTCGTGGCCTCATTGAAAGTCAGAAATCCATAAAGTTGAGATTGAAACCTCGAACCGGCCAACACCGCATCAGCCAAGAGCTATCATCAAGTCGCATCCTACACCCCTACGCCCTACGGCTTGGATTCCTAATCCGCAGCCGACGTCCTGGATCCGAGTCCTCTGAGCCCACGATTTCTTGCTTGGGGCAGGGGCTTATATGGTTTTCATCTCAATCATCCCATGTCATACCCTGCAACATGACCCGGAGGTTAGTGGTGGCTTCAGCTTCTAGTTCGCGATCTCCTTAGAAACTCTAAGCCCTCAAACCGTCTCCTCCTTGGGACCCTTGCAAAGACATCAGGTTGAAGCCCAAGCGGCGTTAATACCGATGCCAACGATGATGCCATCCAGGCGGCCTTTTGCGAGGATTTTCCGGGCTGTTTCAACTGGGATTCCGTAAATTAGGTGTGTCTTTAAAGGGAGGTAATAAATACCAGGGTTCAAGGGTTCCCAAGATTAGGGCTTCTTACCCGACAAATGGAAAAGCGTATGGGAACTGAAATGGAAACTGGGATTCCATAGAGTCGATTGTATTGACTAAGGTTTCCCCAAATTAGGCGTACCGCTAAAGGGAGGTCATAGGGTTGATTCTGAGGAAAAGGGAGATATATGGGATTTCTAGGGCTTAAGATTTCCGAACATTTCACCCTTCTGGCAGTCCGAGAATTGGGATAGAGCTCTGTAGGACCAGCGGGCGCAGGATGTAATTTCGGGCTAAGGCATTAGGATGTAGAGTTTAGGATCTTTGCGTTTATTGATTTAGGGCTTGGGGCCTAGAGCTTAGGGGATCTTAGGGTTTGGGGTTTCGGATTCAAGGCCCAGGGTTCTGCTCGATCTCTCCAAACCTATAACTGCTGAGCTGCCAAAAACTCTAGAGGCTAATTTGTCACCCTAACAGATCCCGTGAACTTGGGACCCCACACAATCCCGTCCCTCTGGATCAACCCTGGATCAACCCGACACTGGCAATCCGCTTCTCTCAGTAGCACTTTCTCTTTTGATAGTCGTGCTGCCACGAAATGTGCAAATCAACAGCCTCACCTGTCAAAAGAGTTTCCCAAAACTATGATGCTTTTTTGGGCCCCTCTAAGAAAGACTATAGTATTTTGGGGTCTATTCCGGTGCCACTATTTATGGAAAATATCATTTCCAGAAACTTAGAAGGAGAATAATCAGCTGGCGTACCCTGGCTGGCTTGTGTTGCCTCTGAAAGGCACGGCGCGTGCCAGGATGCCGCCAATCTTACAGCCTCGCAAGATTCGATGTTCTAGGGATTTAGTGTTTGGGGTTTAGGGTTTAGGGTCTTGAACAATGCACTGTCATCCAACCATATGACATTCAAGCATCGGGAATGTGAGCTGGAATATTGCCCTCATGCACTTCAAGCGTTTGCTGCGAAGCCTTGCCTTTGGGTTAGGTGAAGCTCCAAGACAGTTAACAGGTGATGATTGAGCATTGAGCTGCAGAGCCTTCAAGGAAGAAACTGTCCACTGCTGGAGCAAAGCGGCAAAACAGACAACACAGGATAACAGAAATGTCTTGCTTCAGCCCGTGCTATCAGAACCGTGCAAATGCAGGTGCCCAAGCACTGAGACTCTTACGCACTGCAAATACAAACTTGGTATATTAAATCTTAAACCCTAATCCCTACACGTTCAACCCGAAGCTTTAGAGCCGTCTAGGATCCCTGTGCTCTCACCTTCTCCTGCTGATACACATCTGAAGACATATAACATTCCCTGCATGCCAAAAGTCGGGGTCCAAGTATATGACCCCAAAAAAATACAGGCCCTGTCATGCGGGACGCCCCAAAACAAGCCCATGACTTTCAGAAGCCGTCCAGCACTAATCTCTGAACTCTAGATGCTAGCCTCTAAGCCCCTACACTCCTTCGCCTTAGACTCAAAACCCCAAACCGCTGAACCTCTACACCCCTAGAGTATGAACCCTGTTTCCATTCAATTGGCCATGTTCTTTTCCACGCCAATCTCAATTACTGGGGTATATATCCCTAAACCCTAAATGTAGAGCCCATGAGATTTTCCATGTTCTTTTCAATTTGATTCTCCATTGTTTGGGCAAGGTCCGTAAACCCTATATAACGCTAAACCCTAAACTCTCGATATGATATGATCCTTGTAAAGGGACCTATAAACCCTACATAACCGCATTTAGCATCATAGCAGTTTCCATTTCATGTTCCATTGTTTCATCCACATGATTTCCCATTTTTGGTGTTAAATCCTAAACCCTGAACCCCAAATTGTAGCTTCCCGTTTGTTCTCTATGCTCTGTTACAATTGATTTGGCATTTACAAGAGCGATTCTTAGCATGCCACCCCAGGCCTTCCACCACAACGTCATTGGGCCACTTGATGCCGAAATTCTGGGCGCCATCCGTAGCCCAGTGCCTCTGCTTTGGAGGTTCACGGGCAGCGTAAAGAGAAGCGTAAAAGATGGGATCAGGATAAATGTGCCTGGGGCACATATGAACGTGATAGGGTTTCCAGGTTGAAGAAATATGATGAGGGATGAGTAGTTGGAAATTGGCAAGCAGTGCTGGTCACCCGCTTGCAACGCTGCTTGAAAAGACCTGCGAACTTGCCGTTGGGTTCTCAAAGTTATGGGTCCTTCTTTTGCTTGAGCGGCTTACGAAAACATACCTTTCAAAGTTGCAAATGGGTGATCGTTTGTCATCCAGGAGCCCACGGCGGGGCCTACGGAATTGGAATAATGACTTTGAGTGGCCCCGTGTAGCTGAATTACTGACATATGGTAGCTGGTCACGACACTTGGGCCCACTTGAAGCTCTTGTGTCTGCCTCAAAGGAGTACCTACCCTGTACAATCATATCCCACAGAGCGGGAAGACCTAGATTATTCAAGTGATACGTAACTCCAAGCAGCAAAATCATGAAAGTGCGAATACACAGCACAAGCCTGCTCATGCAGCAAGTCCCAACTAAAAGTTCAAAGCGAGTATCATTCATTCATGTTATTGCTTGTTCGTAGCCCTGATCACAGTTGAGCGTGTACGGTCACGACTACTGCTATCAAATTCTTACTGCAGCCCCGTCGCAGCGTGTCCACTGCTGCCACTGCCAGCACCTGCACTGTTGCACATGTTTGCTGTCGCGTCATCATCCGTAGGGTATTATAGACCTCTACATAGTCCTAGCACTTTGGTGAAAACAGCAAATCTGGCGTTTGATAGAAAACGGATGCAAGACCCTTTCACGTGGAACTTGGCCTAACATCGTGTTCTAAAATGAGGAAAATCTATGCAGAGACTCGTCTTGCAATAGGCAACTCACTACACGTACAAGTAGTATAATGATTTTACGGACATTTCTGGTGGGCTCCCCACCCAGCATCTTAAAGCACGAGGCCGGAGCCCTGAACTGCAAAACTTTAGGGTTCAGGATTTGTTGGAGTGAATTATTGGGAGTTTTGCCTATCGACCTGTCTACAACCCGGAACAGAAGACCTCGGACATCCCCTTTTCCCGCCCATGGTACCTGAGGATCAAAGGCTGCCTGAACCTAGACCATTACCCGGCGCAACAACAGGGGCACCCCGCTTTTTGAGAAACCCCCTCCTTTGGTGAAGTGGCACCTTAGTCACATTGGGCGCGTTGGTGTTGACGAAATCCTGAGCGAAAAGAAGCAGGGCACAGGGGCACCCTGCCCCACCCTGATGAGTCAGAAGAGCCCCAACAAAATCTAAGGTTCCCTAAACATGAGTTAGTGCCGCAGAATTTCGGCTGATTGGGGGGGACCTTGGGGGGGTAATGGGGGAAGCCATAAACTACAAATGCAAGGCTTGCTCCCTCCACACTGAGATTTGCCGTTATTGGTATGACATCGCACAGCTCCGCATAGAGCAGGAGCAGAACCTCGTTCTAGGGGCCCTCTGTTTATAGAAGCACTATAGAATGCAGGGGATGCTAAGGCGCACCCCAAGACGAGGGAACACAATGGACACGATTTTCGGCTACGCTTGGCAAGATCATGGCTCTAGTCACAGAGGTTCCCTAGACACCAATGAATGCAAAAATACAGTTCGCTCTGAGTTTGGGAAGTATACCAAATCCGTTTCCTGCGGGCTACGTTGGTCTGCTCCGACGGGAACCGGAAGAAAAAGGAGACCATCACGCTTTGGGCCTTGCAAGGCTTCAGGGTTGCCCGGTTTGAGCGTTTAGGGTGCAGTGTGCCAAGGTCTTGGATTGAAGGTTGAAGGTGCAATTTGCTCTAGGGTCCCATCCTGAAACTAAGAGCTTCTTCAGTGCACATCTGAAAGATTGTGGTACGCATAGTACATCGAGAAGGTAGAGATGAGCGACTGGTTTCTTGAGCTTCACGGAGAGCGTATACACATCAACAAAAAAATGTCAAACACAGGTCTTGCAGAGTGTTTGGGTCTAGGTGATGCGGGCCGTTCGGTGCTGCCAGAGTCAAAACAGTATACGGCGAAAGTTCAATCCAACGTTCAGTGCCCTGAGCACAGCATTGCTTCCCCTGAATATAGTTACTCCCCGTGTCCGTGTTATACCAGGTTTCTGACTATTGGCTGTTAAGGTCCCTGCAGAGCGCATCAACTCATCTCCCATTCTAATCGCCGATGCCCGCCTTGGCAGTATACCCAGCATGATCCATCTACATTACATAGTCACCCCTAGAGCGTACAGCATGTGAACCCCCACCCTCACATTCTGCGAGCCTTTGTCGCGTGCCAACTCCGCCCGCCCGTGCCACGCCCCTTGGACTGGAAGTCAGCGCTGACTGCCGTGAGCTTTTCCTGTACTGGGAGGGTCAGGGGGACTTTGTCAGGAGCTTCATCACCTCTAAATCCCGTACAGTAATCCAAGTTTTCCCCCTGATTAACCTACTATTACTAAGTCTCTCCAAGCATGGGTATGGATAAAGGGTCTTGCGGCTACAGGAGTTTGCAGATCTCAGGGATTGTGCCTTACGCTCTCAGGGTTGCGGGACTTGTGGGGCTTCATGGTGACAGGAGGCTATTGCCTCAACTGGGGCTAAACCTCCTTGACTGCAACAGCAAAGAAAATACCGTAGAGCCGCATCTTACATCCTGGCCACTACCCAAAATGAGGAAAATAACTCAAATTACTTTCCTAACACGTGAAGTCCTGCCCCCTGAAACCCAAAGCCCTGTGACCTAATCCCAAAAGCTAAGGAACTTTCCCGATGTCCTGGTTGAAGCTCTCATGCTCTCGCTCCACAAAGCTTTGGGTTGAGTCGATCTCCTACGATTACGATGCAGTGCTTTTGGGTGTTGGGTCTAAAGGCGGTTTGTGGACTTGCGGCTTAAAGTGTAGGAGTGTAGGACTGCGTGCCAAGGGGTTGGGAATTTGAAGCGGGATTTTAGGTTGGGGCTGACGAAAAGGTTTACCATTGACAGTTCATGTGGGCCCTACATTCTGACCTCAAGCGCTTTCACAACAAAACACCTGCATCCGTGCACACGAAGATGTAGATTTGAAGCTCCATGCTCCGTGAATCCGCAGAACCCTGCCAACTACCCGAATCCAGGGACTACCCTGCAAAGTCCTGACCTAAGCCCAGATCAAGGGCCTGTTTTGTGTAAACTTTTCAATGAAGGGCCTGAAGAATTTGGGATGAAGAATCGGCCCCTGTTTGATGCTATAGAATCTCGGGATGCGGGTTTAGGACTCATGGGGAGTGCAAGGCCGCGTGAAACCCAGTTTGCCCCAAACCTCAGCAGGAAGAACGGAGAGGGGAAAACAAAAAAAACACCGAATTGCCCCCCCACTGCCAGAATACCCTTCTATACACACAGGAGCATACGATCCTTAATCTTGGGATCGAAGAAGGACCCACATGTGTCCAAGAAACCCACCACTTATCACAAACAGCATCCTCGAAATGTCTGTGGTCCACCCATTCCGCGAGAAGCTTCTCCAGTACGGTGTCTGGCACTGCTGGCTCCTAATGGACAGCGTAAATCACAAGAGGGCACAAGCCAGAGTTACGGGTTTGTCTTTGGGGTTAGTGGTTAAGGGTGATGAAATGTTTATTGCTATTTGCGTCACGGAAATTCCAAAACAATCTTCTGTGGTTTGCTGTGCCAGGGATCCACGAATAAGTTGAGCTGCCTTTCAGGAGTCCTTGTTAACTTTCCAGCTTCCAATGTTGATCCTATCCTTTGACCCTGCATCTACAGCCCCTACAAAGCTTGGAGATCAGGGACAAGCCTCGGGACTATACTTTCATCGGGATCCCATCAACATCAAAGCAAACCTCCACAGTAGCTGAGAACCCAGCCATGTGCAGCCAGCGACACGCCTTTCGTTTTCGCATGCAAGCGTAGGGTCTTTGAGGTTGAGGCATTAGGGTCTCAGGAAACTTGACTTTTTCCGACCTTTGCCAGGGGCTTCATGGGCCTACAGGTACGCAGTGGTGTGAGCAAATTCGGTAAACTGCTAGAACCAGCATCGGCACCCTAAATCCTAAACACTTACACCCCAAAGAACACAGCTTGGGCCTCCGTGCGCAGAGTCTGCCGTAGCTGCCTTGCTCAGCTTTTCAGGGAGCCCCAGTACCCCTTAATTAGGAATACACCTGAGATATGTGTTACATGGGGTTAGGTAGGTTTTAGGGCTTGGCGTCTAGGATGTAAGGCTTTTGGAGCCCAACAGCCCTTAGCTAAGGAATATGCCTTAAACCATAACAAGGATCCCACTACCATTTAAGGCAATTCACTCAATTCAGGGGTATTTGGCTCTCAGGGTTTGCAGGAATCTGAGCGGGATCCCTCAGGTATCGTTCTTGAACGCCATCTTCTTGGCTGTATGGACTTAAGTTGTTCTGAAGGTGCATGTCTTTTACCTGGGGTGCTGTTAGCTAAGGAACTTAAGCTCAGTTCCCACCATATGGGTATACAGTAAATAACAGGGTTCCTTAGTATAGTAACTATAGTAACTTAGCGTAAGTTTGTCAACTGCAACCCTTGTTGGATGCGCGTGTCTTTAAAGTCAACTCCGCTTCTGCTGCATGGATTTCAACATCATGGCAAATGCTTTGCAGTACTGGCCACGTCAATGATTCCTGGTGACACCACAATTTTGTAAGACGTCCAGAACTCAACAGCAATTGCGCGCGCGTTGTCAAGATTTGCCTCCTTGTTCAGGAAGTATCTTGTGCTCTAGTTGAGAGGTACCCCGCACCATCACCGACACATACTCTTCCAGGACTTCATGGTCCACAGCTTCTATGTGAATCTCAGAGAATCAGGTTCAGCCTCGGACGCGGACGCAGTTGCCGGCTACGCCAGAACACGCGCATCCATGGCAAGCGGCGAGAGCTGGCTAGGCATTAGGCGTGCTTGGGATATAAAGGTTAGGCTAGAGAGGTGCGCTCTTGAGTGTAGCTTGTTTTGGTCAGGAGCCGAGGGCTTCTCAGGCGTTGATGCTGCAAGTTTGGATTTGGTTCAGGTGCCTGAGGGTCTGGTGCACAACAGAGGTCTGTTCGCAGCCCGGCCCTCTAGCCCCCAAAACGGTAGCCAGCTCCAAGAGCATGTGGAGTCTAACCGCGATGGCAACAAACCCAGACGAATTACTTCGAAATCTGACCAGAGTGTTTGCCAAAATGGGGGTTCCCTTTCTGGGGGTCCCCATAATGAGAAGTATACTCTTTTGGGGTGGGGTCCCCTTATTCGTCGAAATTACCAGAACTCTCCAGGCAACGTCTTGACTGGAAAAGAGCGCATACTCCTCATATAGAGAGTTGTGGGAGTTTCTAGCTCGAGCTTGAGCTGCGAAGATCTTCCTTCCACGCATCCCTAGCTCGCCAGAGTAGTCATGTAGTCTTTGGGGGTTCATGCGTCAAGGGTTTTAATAAATCGGCTTCAGTATGTAGGGTCCTGCTTTTTGTGAGCTTATATATGGGGCGTAGGGGGCAGAGTTTGGTGTGTTTGGTCATCTATCGCCTCCGCTGTAAAGGCGGTCGGAATCTAGGATCTGGGGCTTAGTGTTCAGTCTTTGCATGCTAGCATTGATGCTGAACAAGTAGTAGCTTCATCTCCAGTCTTGCCTAGACAATGTCTTTCCAAGAGAGATCTCCAGCTCAACATTCCAGCTGAGAACACAAGGGCTACTTACATCCGCCAGCAATTCAAATGCCTAAACCCTCAGCTGAATGAAAGTCTATACAAAGCGCAGTGTTTGTTTCTACAGCCTACGGTTCAGGCCTCACAGTCTTGCAGGCTTGGGTGTTTCCAGCAATCAAGCTTCTTGAGCCTTTTGGGGTCCTCCATGCTCGGGAATTATCATATACATGCATGCAGACCTGCCTCATTTGCTCCCCGAGGCTATGTGTATTGTCACAGAGAACGCACTGCCCCAAAAGAGGATGACTAGTGTAAGCGGTGTAGTATCTCCTGCAACGCACTATGCTGAGGGATAATCACCTGCCTCACCTTTGGGGCAAGGCAGGGCCTAACTAATATCCGACCCTGGCTGTCATCAAAAGTCATGCTGGGAGTATTTGAAATGCTGGGCAGGAAATGCAACAGCCGCCCAACCCACACTATCCTTCCCACCCGAAAAAGGGTTTCTAAGAATGCTCCGGGAAAACCACGAGGGCATTGTCGGAGCGGTGAGTGTAACTTCCCTGCGTCCGGTTTTTCTCAGGCATGCACGGGGGATTCTCGGAGATTGCCATACAACCCTTTTCCAGGCGTTGAAGCAGCTTAGGGGACAAGGGCGGGTAACATGCAACAGGAGCGAACATGTGGGCAGAAGTTGGGGGAAGGTACGTCAACTGAAGTTGCATCTTTACCCTGATGACAAACATGGAGTAGCACCGTATCTATCGAAGGACCCCCTGAAAAGGGCATAACATGCTTGTACTGCAAGGAACAACGTGGGAAAATGAACTCTGCCTGCTCAAGGAATATATCTTCACAAAATTGCTGAGGGAAGGGGTCGTCTTGCAATCTGTAGCATTCCGAGTCTGTTGCTATCTGCGGCCTGATTTGCGCAAGAATACGAATTCTCTCCTGCAGGAAAAGATGGTCCCAACACGCGCTGTGCTTGACCACAGGAATTGGAATGTACCCTGGTAGCTAGCGGCAACAACAGAACTCAGTTTTTGGTAGCATGCACCTAAACTGTGCTCTGGGAACACAGCTTCACATTCCAGCTGCTGCAACTCATCATGTTTTAGCAACTCCGTGGAAGACCCATCAGGGAAAAGTGCCCAACGCCGGCTACATCTGAGAATAACCGACTACTAAACTTATGTGACCCTATGCCTGCTGTAGGTTTCGGAACTGCAGTGGAGAGTTTTCCTACCTCCTTGCCAAATCTGAAGAAAGTTAGAGGGGCTTCAATGCTTTGCTTCGGGTTGTGAACTGTACTATCGCAGAGTCCATGTAGGCTACCCCTTTTGACGGATTCAACTTGGTAACGGTCCACGGTCCACGGTCCTCTATCCACCAATTTCACCAAAGTTGATCCATTTCCGATCTTGCAGAGGCCATGCTGCAAAGCTTCACAACGCAAATTTTGCGTCCAGCTCCGCTAAGTCATTTACATACGGAGGACACTTCAAGTGTTTCAGGTTAAAGCTTCAGAAGTTCAGGATGTTGGGGCTTTTTCTTGGGGTCCGACTCCAGTGTAAATCCCATACGCATCCCTAAGGCCTCCCCTTAAAGATTTAAGACCATCGCTCACTTCGAGATGCGAAGCCTGACTTTGAGAGTGCGAGTCTTCTCCGACCACCTGGGGGCAGGAAAGGCTCATCTTGTCGTGCCAGGAGGTTTAGGGGTGAGCATGCCAGCTTAAGATTTAGCTGGGTGCGGAGATGTGGGCTTAAAGACTTAAAGGTTTGCGGGCCGGATTACGGTGAAGGGTTGCGCTTCGGCTTCCGGATCGTCTCTTCCGGGCAACAGACGAAAGATTCAGGTCTTGAAGTTAAGTTGAAGCAAGGCCTGGATGGACAATCATAGGACTACGTGATTTAGGGAGTAATGCATCAGAAAAAGGAAGCTACTTTTATGTGGGGTACATGATACAGGGGATAGTGGAAAAGAAAGCGAAAAGTACTATATTCGACTAGGATATATGTTGGTGTTATCTAGGGTTGTATAGGGTTCCGGCGGATAGTCCATCCTGGATTATCGGAAACAGCAGCAGGAGATGGGACATTGCTACGGGATATTACATGTCTGCCTGGGTTGCTTCTCAATTCATAGTTTACCCTTCCAACATCATAGATAGCAAGC